CTGGTCTACGTGCTCTCTTGACTTTCCTCTACTTGGTGTCCCAGACAGGAAAGTAGAATGGGAGGAAAAGGAAGTTAGAAAATGAGTAAACTTGGTCTTCCTTAGGTGTATCATACACCCAAAAGTAACATATGTAAACATAGTTAGGTCTGCAACGTTGTAAGCTACTAAAGCAAACCTTAAGACATTATTTGTCAACAAATTTTCTTTTTAAAACTAATTTATTAGTTGAGTATGATGGCACATGCTTTTAACCATAGTACCCAGGAAGCAGGGGCAGGTGGATTTCTGTGAATTTGAGGGCAGTTTGGTCTACACAGCAAGTTTCAAGCCAGCCAGAACTACATAGTGAGACCTTGTCTCAAAACTAAAAATAAATAAATAAGTGAATAAAATATAAAGCTAATTTATTGCTACCACCTTATTACATAGTGTAACCCATATAGGAGCATATGGACTCCATAAAGACTCACTGAAAACTGACCTCTGGAAATCTTTGAGTCCTTGTATTCACCTTCAAGTGAATGGATTTTGAAGACCTAACTTTACCAAATAGCATCTTGGGCTTTTGTCTATATGTAATTCCTACTGGCATCTTAGATTATATTGCTTTGTTACAGCATTAGAAGCTGGAGGGAACTCCTAACTCACGCTAAAATCTGGATTCCAGAGTTTGTGTTCTTTTCTATTAAAAAAAATTACATGGCGGGATCTTTGATTGATGTGTAAAATGAACAAATTTTCTTAATAAAAGAATCACGTGGCTAAGACTGAGCATGTGCGTCTAAGCATCAGAACTAACCAGCTTCTGAAGTGAAAGAAACACAGGAACACATGGGCAGGAGGAGAATTCACCTTTCCACCTCTCAGTGGTTTCCAAAAGGGGGATCAGTCTGCTGAGTCCTTTTGTGAAATCTTAGAGTTGACAGGTGGTTCAGACCTATCCCAGACAAGGCACCACAGTGCCAAAGGCAAAACAAGACTTGCACTTTTGAGATGGCCTTTCATGCTCTCACTCCCACTGAACCCTCAGGGATGGTGAGGTCAGATAACTGTACAACTGAAGCAGCATTGGAGTTCCCATGCACTGGTTAGTCCGAGCTTCCAAAATCTATGATGGGAAACATTGGGAGTTTATGGTGGTTAGAATTGTCCTTTGAGAGATGTTTTTCTTTACTGATGTTTGTTCATTTATTTACTTATTTTTGATGGTGCCAATGGCCAAACCCATAGCCTCACATGTAATTGCAATTGCACTCCCACAGAATACATTTTTTAAAACTAATAATATATGAACCTTATGGATTCATTGTACACAGAGAGAATATAAAAGTGGGTATTAAAGGTATTAAATGATAGTAAACCTAAAAAACAATTTAAATGATGTTATATCAAAAAACCCAACAATTCCTTCTCAGTTTAGCAACATTTACAAATTCATAGATGGGTACATGTTACAATGATACGGACAATGGAAAATGTTATCAAAGAACTTGGAATTTTGTGTCTACAGTTCTTTTAGACAAATAATAATAAAAATGTTCTAGGGGGTTGTAGAGAGGGCTCAGTGGTTAAGAGCATGGGCTGCTCTTCCAGAGGACCCAGGGTTCAATTCCCAGCACCCACATGACAACTCACAGCTGTCTGTAACTCCAGTTCCAGGAGATTTGGAACCCTCACATAGACATACATGCAGGAAAAAATAAAAATAAATATAACCGTTTTTAAAAAATTGCCTTGGCTGAAAAGTCAGGCAGGCACATGCAAACTACACGCGTTAGACGAGTCTGTCGCTGTGAGAAATCTGATGCTTGTCCACTGTGGCCTGTCTTCTCAGCTCACTTCTGCAGTACAGCAGCCTTCTAGATCCTCTTGTTAGGGTCTGACCTAACACTGTTGAAGGTACTTTGCTACCATGAAACATTGAAAAGATAACATTGAAAAAAAAAAAAAAAAGCCAGGCCAGGCTTGGTGGCGCACGCCTTTAATCCCAGCACTCCAGAGGCAGAG